GAGGAGGAGGAGAAGAAGAGGAGGAGGAGGAGGAGGGAGAAGAAGAAGAAGATGACGAAGAAGAGGGAGGAGAAGAACAAGAGGAGGAGGGGGAGGAGGAAGAAGAAAATGACGAAGAAGAGGGGAGAGAAGAAGAGGAGGAGGAGGGAGAAGAAAAACGCAATGGAGTTGAAGGCTTGAAGCAGCAATGAAAAAAAAATAAAAAAATTAACGGCTATGGCTAATGGAGGAGGAGAAGAAGAGGAGGAGGAGGAAGGAGAAGAAGAAGAAGATTACGAAGAAGACAGAGGAGAAGAAGAAGAGGAGGAGGAGGAGGAGGAAGAAGAACATGACAAAGAAGAGGGGAGAGAAGAGGAGGAGGAGGAGGAAGAAGAAGAAGAAGAAGAAGACGAAGAAGAGGGAGGAGAAGAAGAAGAGGAGGAGGAGGGGGAGGGGGAGGAGGAGGAAGAAGAAGAAGAAGAAGAACGCAAGCCGATGGCTAAGAAAGGAGGAGGACTAGAAGAGGAGGAGGAGGTAGAAGAAGAAGAAGCGGAGGACGACTATGGCTAATGGGCGAGGAGAGTGACCACGAAGAAGAAGAAGAAGAAGAAGAAGAAACAAACCTGGGGGAGTCATCGAGTGGCTCGTCGGCGGGGGGTGTGATGGCACGACTGGCTGGCGAAGACAACGATGGCGATGATGCACCCTGCGGAGACCTACCTATGATGGCGCAGCTGCACCGAGTGATGGCGCGGCTGGCTGGCGGTGGTGACGATGGCGCGGCTGGCTGTCCGAGGCGACGACGGAGTGGCTGCACAGACTGGAGGTGAGCCGGGTTGAACGCGCGATGCGTTTCCCCCCGCTGCACGAATTCGGTTTCCCGCCATAAGTGATTCAAAACAGTGGCCGATCTTTGTCGATGATCTGCGACGATCGGCGGCCAAGATTGGCCACTTTTTGAACTTCGAAAAATGGGGCCTGCAGGACCCGGTTTCCTAATTGTGGGGCAGGGCCTGCCCCCACGAGGCCTCCACAACACAATCGCGCCGCCAAAAAACAAAATTCAAGCCCCAGCAAAAATGTGCTGGGGGCGACCGGGAGGGAACCGGCCCGGGCCACCGGCCCGTCCAACCGGGAGGACCGCGAATGGGGTAGGGGTCCCCGGTCCATCCAGGGACCAGCTCTGGTTCAAAGTCATACTGGTCTGACTCTGCAGCCCACCTAGTAAGCTTAGGTGTCATCTTGGCCTGAGTCTTCAGGCACCTTAGAGTCTCATGGTCTGAATAGACTTTGAAGTGTCTCCCAAGCAAGTAGTGCTTCCAATGATCTAGTGCTTGCCTGAGAGCGTAAAGTTCTCTCTCATAGGTTGATGTCGCCACCTTCTCTGAAGGCATCCTCGCGGACATCAACTCTACGGGCCTATATCCATAGCCATAGTCTTGCTGTAAAACAACACCTATGCCATAATGACTTGCGTCGGTGGTAACAACGAAAGGCAGGGATGGATCGACTACCTTAAGGACTGGATATTCTATCAGGGCCCGCTTTAATCTTTTCAGGGCAGTTGTACAGTCCTTGTCCCACTTCCAGATTGCCTCTTTCTTTAGCAACCTGCGAAGGGGTGCAACGATGGTGGAGAAGTTTTGGACGAACTTCCTATAGTAATTAGCTAGACCTAAGAACGACCGCAACTCTGTCAGTGTCCGAGGCGTTGGCCAATCTCTAATCGCTGCAATCTTACTATCTTCAGGTCTAACGCCGTCTCCGTCTAAGACGTGGCCCAAGTACAACACTTGTGTCTTGGCCCATTCGCACTTCTTTGTGTTGATCTTGAAGTTAGCTTCTCTAAGCTTATCCAAGACCTGCCTCAGATGGCCCTCATGCTCCTGGAGGGTCTTACTGAACACTAGAATATCATCTAGATATACTACAACAAATCTATCTAACCACGGCCTAAACAAATCATTCATGCAGCGCTGGAAAGTTGTTGGCGCATTGGTTAGTCCAAAGGGCATAACTATAAACTCATAGTGGCCATATCTAGTCTAGAATGCTGTCTTGTACTGATCATTAGGATGAACCTCTATCTGATGATAGTTGGACTTTAAATCTATCTTCAAGAAATACTTGCAACCCTGCACCTGGTCTAACAAATCGTTTATACAGGCCAGTGATTCTGCATTCTTCATTGTGATAGCATTAAAACCCCTATAGTTTATACACATTCTAAGCTCTCCCTCTTTCTTGGGGACAAAGAGAACAGGTGGTCCAAATGGGGACGAACTGGGCCTAATCCAACCCTTCTCAAGGAGCTCGTCTAACTGCTTACGTAGCTCCTCTAACTCCCTTGGGGACATTCTGTAAATCGCTCCCTTAGGAGTCCTATGCTTTGATCCCACCAAGGAGAACAGCCTGAGATGGCACACCCACAGTCAACTGTTAAACCTGCAGACGATCAGGATTAGACACAGCGACACCTGGTCTGAGCACGACGTTCAGAAAAGCTTATGTGCGCTTCTCAGGATGACGGTGGGGGCCACAGATTGGGAATGGGAACAACTGTCGTGGACCCGGTTGTAACCCGTCTTGGGCTAGGATACGACTGTGAGACAAGTGAATGGACCCGGTTAAAGCAGTATATGGGAAAGACCATATTTGGAATCAATGCAAGAGGGCAGCAGACCTGGACTTGCGGTCATTGAATGTGAATGGACTGGCCTCGAGCAAACCTGAAAAACACAATGCAATCTCGGACCGGATGAGAGGGGTGGGGGGTAGAAACTGGTCGGACATAGTATGTGTCCAGGAAACGCACCTGATGGACACTCCAGAGCACAACCGCATACATAAAATAGTCTAGCCGTATAAGGCCTTCAGAGCCCATACCCCAAAACCAGGGAGTGCAAGGGTGGCTATTTGGATCCCCCCCGAATCCCGGGCAGATCCGGTATACTGGGCTATGGATCAGGAGAAAGGTCGATGGGTGTCAATCCTAGTCACCCTAGAACTTGAAATTGTATGCATACTATGTATCTATGCCCCCAATGCTGTGAATGAAAGGAAAACTTTCTTTGAGAATATCAAATCGCACATTCCGAACGAGGTCCCAATCATTATAGCGGGGGATTGCAATGCAGCCCCAGACCGGTGGATGGATAGATGGTGAACACCCTCCCCTGCCCCGTGGTATGTAGAGGAGGATGAGTGGATAATCAGCGAGTTATGCCTATCACTAAAAGTGTTTGACACCTTCCGCAAGCTAAAACCAGACACAAAATACTACTCATGCCTACGTAAAACTGGGACGGAGAACCAGACGAGATCCAGGATCGACTTAATTCTGACCTCGGAAGACCTAGAAGGATCTCTGCTTCTCGCAACAATCTTACCAGCCAGCCCTGACCCGGGTCTGCATCACAAAATGTGCACGGTCATTTTATCCTTCTGCAAGAAACCAGATCGCAGTCCGGGATTTTACAAACTTAATACTTCCATCCTACAACAACAAAATTTCCAAAAATATATTACAGACTGTTGGACGTTTTGGCGCACACAAAAACAGTATATACAAGACAAAATAGACTGGTTTCAGGCGTACTCCAAACTATTAGCAGCCAAGAAGCATCAGCAAGAGATGGAAATTCATCAGCAACTGCAGCAACTAGAACATCAAGATCAACCCGGTGACCCACACAACTCACACGTAACTCGGCAGACATAGCAAGGGGAGGGCTCAAGAGCACACAATTCACATGAAACTCAGCAGACACAGCAAGGGGAGGATTCAAGCGCACAGACATTGGAAGAACAACTTCAGATGTTTGCCACACAACGATGGGAGGGAGCACGCATCCGAGGGCGACTGGCACGACACCAAACGGAGGGGACCATCGATAAAAGATTCTTTAGTATGGCCCGCGTTTGCACACATAGATCCACCATAGAAGCACTTTATGATCCACAAACCGGTCATCAGGATATTGTCGCCTTCACCCCCCAATGTGTTCAGATAGCAAGATCCTTCTTTAAGGACCTATTCACCTCTCGTTCCGGACAAAGGGAGGAAGATATCAGGGAGAAAGAAATCGAAGAGTTCCTGAAACCTCTTGAGAAGACCGTGACGGGCCAGCAAAAAATAGATCTAGATCGCCCCCTGTCCAGGGAGGAAATCTGGACGGCGGTGATCCAAATTGATGAGGAGAAGACGTCGGGAATAGATGGGTTCAATAAAGAGTTATGGGAGACCTTCTGAACCCATATGGCCCCGGACTTGATGGACTTCTATAATCAGGTATCAGAGACAGGGCAGATGGGCGAGCTGGTGGGACAGGGAGTCCTCACCCTCCTGTTCAAAAAGGGGGACAAGATGGATATCAGGAACTATAACCAATAACGTTGCTGACAGTGGTGTATAAAATGTTAGCGAAAGCCTTGGCAAACCGCCTGTTTCCAGTCCTGGACGACATCATTCATCCCACACAGACTGGATTCGTCAAAGGGCGTAGGATCCACGACAATATCCTACTAGTCAATGAACTCTTCAAACTCACAAGACAAGATAAACAGAACGCGGTTGTGGTCTTCATCGATTTCGAAAAAGCCTACGATCATGTAGATAGGCAATTTCTAGACAGATGCATGGGAAAAATGAACATTGGATCTATTTTTCAGGGTTGGACTGAAATTCTACATCATAACACCACTACGTGTGTCCAAGCCAATGGCAGGGTGGCGCCGGCCTTCCCGCTGCAACAGTTCGTCAGACAAGGAGACCTTCTAGCACCCTTCCTTTTCATAATTGTGATGGAGGCACTGGGAGCGAACCTTCTCGCCAACAAAGACCTGCGGAAGCTGCAGATCTCGGCCATCCCCGACGACGCAATCCCCATCTGTTCGCTGTTCGCATATGACTTGACAATTATGGTAGATGCCACAACGACAAACATGGATGAGATCAAAAGACTATTTGACCAATTCACAACGATCTCAAACATGACTGTTAACTGGGGAAATAAAACTTTGGGTTGGTGGATTCATCATCAAGGAGTGCGCCCCCCAGAGCTTCCACGGGTTAAGTGGCTCCCCGAAGAGGCCCCGGTTAGGGTACTTGGAATCATGCTAACAGCACTAGGTAGGCCTGCATTGAACGATGAGTGGATATTGAAACCAGCTTTAGAAAAGTTAGCCGGATGGAAGGACCAACACACCTCTTTATTCGGTAGCGTGTTGGCGATTAACAGTGTGGTGTTGGCGGCCCTTTGGTACAAATCAGCAATCTGGGCTCTTCGCAAGGCAGCCATCCGATCTCTGAAGTGTCAGGTACCGGCACTGCTATGGCGAGGCAATGGTGAGCTCACGAACGTCATTAGCAGGGTAGCTTGGTCCTCGGTGATCCAACCTAAAAACAATGGGTGGTTGGGGATTCTTGACCTGGAAACACAGGTCACAGCGATAATGGTGCAATGGGTTAAGAGGCTACTCTTCGCACAACAGCTTCCATGGTACGCCCTGGCACTAGAACAGATAGCTAGACTTGCCCCGCAAGACCCACATGAAGTTCACCCGTTGACCTGGCTGGAAGACTGCTTCTGGACTGTGTCGCGGCGCACCCAGGGTGGCAGTGAACTGAAAAGAGGAATAATCTGGAAGGATTTGGCCCGGGACGACTTCTGGGCCAGGGTTCTGAAAGCCTGGCGCCAACTCCCCCTTCCAGACAACCCTCATCCGACTAGGTGGGAGGAAGTGATGCGCCAACCCCTGTTATAGCAAGGTGTTTAGTAGTTCGGTCACCCCGTGGTGTAGCTGGGTTAAAAAAGGTGTTATGCGAATAAAAGACATTTGGAACTCAGAGACGAGGGATTGGAAGACAGTGCAGCAACTGAAGGGGACACTAAAATATTGTCATAAGATTGAGGAGAACCTTGAAAATGTTGATATTCGGAATTCCCCTGGACTGGGTGCACATCCTGCGCAAAGGGCCACGACTGGAAGAAGGGGACTGGGTATCTATACCGGACGACTCAGAAAGTGTGGGAAATGTAGTGGACGTGCGGTCGGATAAAACTTTGATTAACCTTTTTCACATAGGCAAGGATAATGTCCTAACCCGATACTCCCTAGAAGTGACGAGATGGGGGAAAAACAAGGATCTACAAAGGATCCATGAGTTACGGGACAAGGAAGTATGGATTGCATATCAACCAAACACCCCATTGGTTGAACTCCCCTTGGATCTCGAGGAATGGCAGTGGTCACATCCACGGAAAAGCAGATCTCGGGGGAAGACAAAGCTGCAGAACCTAGCAGTGAAGGCAACGTACCGTCTGTTGCGCCCCAAAGTAAACATTAAGGAAAAGGTAAAGGAAAGATGGAGATCTCAATTAAATGTAGGAACCGAGGTGATCCGTCCTATCCGTTGGTTCACTGCCACCAGAGCCAGGCCAGCAAAGATGGTCTCACAGCAGTGGCAAATAGAACATCGTTGCTTACCCATCAACGACTGGCTAATAGGTCGTACCCGTCTAGAGCAGAGAGGACAGGCGGTACCCTGGTGCAAAGCGTGCCACACTGTCTTCCCCTCCCGCAGAATCCCGGAAACTATAAAACACATATTCATGCAATGTCCGGGTGCAGTCCTCGCATGGTGATGGTGGGATAGAATTTGGTCCCGTTTGGACACTGGGTCAAAATGACCTTGGGACTGGAAAGCCATACTATGCGAGACATGGTCCTCCCCCACAAATAACTCTTTCGAAAATAACATGTTTCAAACAGGAAGGAGAGTTGTCATGTGGGCCCTTTGGAGGAAACGTTGCATACATGTCATTGAGGAAGCCCGCACAGCGGAGGGAGAGGTGACAGATATGATAAAACAATATGTCCAACAAGAACTTACGGTACAGTGGCAAAGAATCAAGAATCAATTGGACTTGTTTCACTCATCCAAGGATATAGTACAAACAATCCAGCAATTCACAAGGGATTGGTAGGGCAGCGAGAATGGGGGCTGGATTGCCTTCGTCAGATGGGAAGGCAGGCCTACCCAGGGTGACCACCAGGGAGATTTTAGAAAGGACTACAGTATTTGTTTCAAAGACTGGACAGTGGTGGGCCAGGAGTTCCCGCTGCGACCATCCACAGAATTTCCCGATCCCTTCCCGCCCCACCAACTAGCAATGGTGGACCTGCAATGGTATGGAACCGACTGTGCAGTTTGAATGAAGACAAAGCACACGGCGGCCTCATAGAGCATTGTCCAAACAAAAGTTGGTCCCTTTGATGTTCGAGGTTTACATTTGGAGATTGGAAGTTGGGACTGGGTGGGAAGAGGGGCAGGGGGGGGAGGGAGGAACTAGTTTGTAGCAAGCAGTTATCTAGCGCTTGGTTCAAGGCGAAGAGGTTCTCTTCCTTTTCAAAACTCCTGCTCAGTCAATCCTCTGGATTCCAAAGTAATCAATGCTGGCAGGAGTCTCCCGCTCCCATTTCTTGACGTGCTCCAAATTTCTTTTGTATATGGGACGCTGGACCCGTTGTCCAGCAGGTGCTGCTCCCCACCAATAGCTGGAGCCTCTCCTCAGGTGCTAGCGGTGTGTGCTCTTACCAGCACCACTATCACTGGAAGGGGTTTATAAAAAAAAAAAAAAAAAAAAAAAAAAAAAAAGGAGTCCTACTGCCAAGCTCTATCTCTATGCGATGTTGGATCGGCCGCGACACTACTCCTGTAGGCGGCTTAACTAGGTCAGTATATTCTTCCAACAACTTGGCAATAGTAGGGCCTATGGGTGTCTCCTCCTTAGGCTCAGTGACTGGCCTCACATAGGCTACAAAACCTTGCTCTTCTAATTGCTCCTTCTTTACTAATCGCACGAACGAGGGAGCACTGAGGCAGCAATGTGCCAAGGTGTTGTCTATTCCAAACACATGAAACAGGCGAGCAGTCTTAACTTCACTTGTGGTACTAGGGAGCCTACACTCGTGCTCTCTCAAATGGAGTGTGGCCCTAGCTGCCTCTCCCCAGTCCATTCCTAGGACTATATCAAAAGGAAGGTTGTCTTCTACGAGGAGAGTCAGGGAATGGAGAACTTTCTCCACCTTCCCATTTTTTTCTAGGCGAAAGTACGCCTGGACTCCCTCAACGTAATCCTCGACTCGCATAGTGAGGTTGTATGCGAGGATACTAACTATAGGGTCTGCTAATTTTTGGACTTCCAGGTTCAACTTTAACTTTTGTAGCGCTTTCCTACTAATATAGTTGTGGGTGGCCCCATTGTCTATAAGGGCCCCTACTCTACCTCTGAAAATCTCTACATCTACTAACATTAGTTGTCCTTTGGCATCCTTCTTCATCTTGGCCCAGGCAGGCATTCTCTCCTTCAACTCTTCGGCCACGACTGTGAGGGAAGTACCTAGAGAGACTTTTACACAAGCAGTCTTTGGACACCTGTCTAGGTACTGGCCAGCAACCTCTGTCGTAGGCTCATGTGGTTTGGGAGTTCCTTTGTGGTGTGCGCACTCTTCTCCACATAGCCTAGAGGTAAGGGCATTGCGACCCCTACCAACGGTTGCCTTTTGCTGCTTGTGCAGCATACCAGGCTTCTCTATACTTCGGGCAGAATTTGATGATGTGACCAGGATCACCGCAATAGATACACTGATCCTGATCAATCCGCATTTGCCACACTGACTGCTCTAAGCCCAAATCTTCCCATGGCCTGCCTTGCGGCAAGCCTGGATGCCATCCACCTCGACGTGGAGGTGACCTTGACCCCCTACTTCCCTCTTGGCACTTTGCTATACCGCCAACCCCCTGAGTGCCATGTCCTCGGCCACCTAAGGCCCGGCCCCCTTGGCCCTGGCCTCCTTCTCTTCCTTGCGGCCTCCCTCCAACCGCGCCAGCAGCGTAGGTCCTCCCCTGACTCCCAATATTGTCCTCCTCCTCCAGGCCCCACTCGATCTGGCTATACGGGACCTCGTCTGTACCACCCTCATCTAACGTAAGGATCAGATGATCCTTTCCCTTTACCTGTCCTGAGATGGTACGGCCTTTCCACTTTTTACCTTTATCTAGGTCCTTGTGCCAGAAAGTGGAAATTGGCATGGACTGCGCCTCGAACAGCACCACCTCTCTCCTCAACTCATCGTATGTCATGGTGGGTTGTCGACTCTTCTCAAAGAAGTGCACCCGTAGGGGCTCTGGCATGGCACGATAGAAGAGATTGACCACCTGGGGCTTAGTGACCCCGTGGTCTGGGACGACTACAAGCTCGTCCATTATGCCTTTGAGTGCTCTGGCACTCCTCCACTGGCGTGAGTGGATAGTCTGCAGTTTGTCAGAGGCCCTAACGCCTCGCGTGACATCTGCGAATCGCTCCTTAAGGAGCCGAAAGAACTCATGGAGAGGGGTGACCTTGGAATAAGCGACCATATTGTTCTCGCACTGTGTGGCACGAGCGAGTGATCTAGCAAAGTTGGCGGCCTCATCCTTGAGGGCATGGAAGGCAATGAGGACTTGTTCCTTTGGCACGATATGCTGTAAATAAATGTATGTATCTACGTTAGCCTCCCAATTATCAAAATTTTCTTCTTTCTTCCCGTCGTAGGACTCAGGAAACTTTATCTTAACGGGCTCTCTACGGGGGTGTGGCTCTTCTTCCTTTGGCAAGGCCAACTTTGCGTCCTCAATGGCGCCTGTGCAAAACTTCTCAATGCTTTCTATCCTTGCCTGCACTTCTGTGCCCACGTGCCGCATCATCTCGCGTGCAAAATCCCTAAAGCCTAAACGTATGGAGTGTAAGGTCATAACTTGGACTTTCGAAAACTGATACTGCTCATCCCAGGCCTTAGCCAGGAGCTCAATGTTTCTAGAGATAATATCTAATTTCCCCTGTACATCAGCTTGTGTCTGGATCTGCGCTCTTTGCTCTTTAATCACCTCCAACTCCTTCACTATTTGGCTCGCCTCGTCCATCCTTCTTTTCCTCTCCGTCATAAGACGCAGTTTCCACTCTAACTTTTTCTCCTTCTCGATTGTCTAGCGTCTTAAGGGATCCTTTTCTACCTCCCACTCCCTGATAATTGCTTTCTTTTCTTCTGGGGGTACATACAACATGGCCTCTTCCTCTTCTCCCAAAGATAAATTAGCTACCCACTCATAAATATTTTTCTCTATCCTCGAGTCCTCCTTTGTGCCACTGGACTCAGCCCTCTGCTCTGCGCCTCTCCTGAACAAGGGCTCTTCCTGTTCCTCCTCCTCCTTCTTCAACCTCTCCATTTCTTCTTCCAACTTCTTCTTCTTCGCCGCCTGCTCCTCCTGCACGGCCAACTTCTTGGCCTGCTTAATCAACTCTATCTTGGCATGCTTCTCCTTTCTCTCTCTAAGGACGGCGGTGGCCTGCTCTTCCTGAGCCTTGGTGTAAGGGGTGGTGAGGTGTACAACCCGGAATCAGTTCCACTCCTCACCACTTAGACTCACCCCCCTAGCTGACTTAACTTAGACTGACTCAATCTAAGGACCACAGAATCTTAAAAAGATCTTGTCAACTAGGGTCTCTAGCCTAGACCTAAACTAAGGTTGGCACTACAGGACTTACTGCTGATCAAGAGGCATTTAAGGAGATTCCTCGTAACTCCTCAGGCATTATTTAACGTCACAAACAGGACGACGCAATCAGCAAGTCCTCTCAAGACGTAGACAGCTTGTTGTGCAGCCCACAACTCGGATTTTGGGCCTACTGTGCCACACCGAGCAGCCCGCCAGTCTGTCCCGGTCCTTGGGAGGGTTCGTGTCATCCGGGTCAGTCGAGTCGCCAGACACAACCTTTAGCCCTACTCAGCCCGTGTGGGTTTGGTCAACAAAGCTCTATGACCACGTACACAGAGTTCCTATCACCTGGACAGAAGAGACTCAATGCAGAAAGAAGAGACAGACCGACTCAGCAAGTACCATGGGGTGAGTGCACATCCATAGGGCGAGGGGATAGGCTGAACGCTTGGCGAGAATATACCAACTCCAACTTGGTCAACTTTGTGGTCAACAACACCGGTGAACGCCTTGGTCAACGCTTGGTCAACGTCGGTCAACGTCCGTCAACGCCCTAGTCAACTCCAAACAGCTCGCCGGTCAACTCTTCGGTCAAGTCTTGGTTGACGTCGGTCAACCCTTCGGTCAACACCTTAGTCAACCCTTGATTCGGCTATGGCTGCCTCCACTCTCTTCCTCGCCAACCCAAACAAAGAATAAGAGGACACTGTTTTGTGTCCTTCTGGTTTGTCTGTCTCTTTGCCTGTCTGTCCTTTCATTTTTATTTTCTTCGCTCATCTTATTTATTCTTTTACTTCATGTGCTTACGCTCTTAGTCAATAGTTCTGTGACAATATATATACCGTCACAAAAATGTCTTACTTACAACTCCCCTTGTACATATATTGTCACAGAACTATTGACTAAGAGCATGAGCACGTGAAGTAGAAGAAGAAATAAGATGAGCAAAGAAAAGAAAAATGAAAGGACAGACAGGCAAAGAGACAGACAAACCAGAATGACACTTTGTTTCACAGTATTATTATTTCTTTCAGTGTTTTACAGAAAATATTTACACTAAATCAAAGGATAAAAATCAAAAACAAAGACACATTGAAATCATTCAGTTTCTCAGTCTTCTTAACGCCTCCTCCACTGTGCCTCTAACGTACAAGGCTCGCCACGTTGATGAAGTTGAGCGCGAGCTGCCCCCATCCCCGTATGCCATAACAGCCCACTTGCACGCTATCGGAAAGAGGCAGAGTGAAGGAAGAGGTGTCAAACACAAGGGAGAGAGGAGCAGAAAAGGAAAATCGATAGGCAGAGGGAGAGAACAAAAAAAAAAGAAAAGGGTGACACAAACATCTTCGTTCTTTTACTGCATTCTTCTTTCTTTCATAGTTTTGCAGTTTTTGTTAAGAGTCTACCACGTCCATTTTTCAGCGCACCTGCACTTCCTTCTTCATTTTTTATTCTCATTTTCACCCTTCGGACTTTTTCTTTGAGGGTGTGAGGGTGCAGGGTACAAACAAAGTAAAACGMCACAAACTTATGTTCTTCTTTTACTGAAGTCTTCACTGTTTTGCAGTTTTAGTGAAGGGTTTCCCACCTTTGCACATTCTTGTACACTCTTTTCAGCGCACCTGCACATTTTTGTCAGGGTGCAAGGTACRTCTAAGTAAGACCCTCACGACAGATAGGACAACTATCATAAGGATGCGGGCGATGGTAGCAGCCCTCCCGCTGATCTATAGGACGAAAACCATTCAAGCAACTTCGTCACAGCAGGAACCAGGACGGCTAGCATCGACCATACCTCTAAAGCTGCACGGCAGAGGGCATGCCGGTTGCAAGCCATGACCATTGTGGGGCGTTCACCATCACAGTTAAGTGCACATTCGCTATAGCGCCTGTAGGCACAGATGGGACATACTGCATCTGGATGCAAAGGATGTTCACAATCCGGATACAGGTGGCATCCCTGCCGACAGCGGGCCCGAAAAATTATATGGTTGTAGTGATGTCGACAAAGTCGATGCTTTCCACAACCAAGTGTAACTGTGTCAGTGATCTCACAAAGGAGGTCACAAGGTGTTAGTGCAGCATGCGGGGGAATGAAGACTAAAGCAGGCACGGTGACAGACATGGAGGTAGGCACGGAGACAGACACAGAAACGGGCACGGAGACAGACACAGAAACAGGCATGGAGACAGACACAGAAACGGGCATGGAGACAGGTGTGGAGGCAGGCACAGAGACAGGTGCAGAGGCGGGGACTGAAGTACACGAGGTACCTATAGGGTCAGTAATCTGGAAGGAGACAGACACAGAAACAGGCACAGAGACAGGTACGGAGGCAGGCACAGAGATAGGCGTAGAGGAGGGCATGGAAGTACACGAGGTACCCATAGGGTCAATGACCTGGAGCAGTTGCAGGTTAGGGAAATTACGCACGAGATCACAGATGGCAGTAATAGTTTGCACCATAGCACCGCCATTCCATAATTCCCAAGAACCAGAGGCA